TTAAGTATAAATTAAACTTAGTTTTTTACAGTTTTTGTTATATTTGTTACCCAATTGAACTATTCAAAAACAGAGTTCAGTTGTGATTTTTCAAATGTACAATATTATATAATTATATATTATAAACACCTCAATATGAAAATTAATAATCTGATATAATCGGTTATAAAATTATACATAACAAATCAAAGCCTAATAATATTATGAACTTAAATATAATATTACTATTTTTATCTACATCAAACGTATTCTTCTTGTTTTTATAGCTAATTTATTCAAAACGTCTTCCGGCTTTAATATTATTTCTCTATAAATATTCAAAAGTGCCAAACCATTTAATCTATTTTCGCAAGTCGTATTCCGCAAATAAGTCTTCAATCGTTTCAACGTAGAAAAAGACCTTTCACTATTGGCATGTAGTAACTGGAAGGGTTGCTAAGATTTGAAGCAATTTAAAAGTTGATGGGAAAATCATTTCATTACATTTTTTAAGAGCGTCAAGGGCATTTTTTGGAAAAACTTGTGACTGTACAAATTTTTGTTGCCATGTTTTTATTTCTCCGATTGCAGCTAATTTACCGCAATCCAGATCATCTTGGTACATTTCGATAAGTTGTTTTATATTATCTTCTTCAAATTTGCTATTTGAGGAAGGTAGAAGATATGTGGAATTTTTTTAGCATAGTTTTATGARATAAAAATCGCTCATTTAATTCATTTATAAAACTATCAATAAATGAAATAAATAGAGAAATCCTATAATAATCTTCAGGAGAAGTTTCTTGTACATTACAACGATTTTTTTGAACATTCGTCCTACGAGGCAAAGAAATTTCAATATTTAATGCATCACATTTAGTTTTAACTTCATCGAATATACTTTTAAATTYACTTTYTGCGTTTTTTCTTATACTTTCAATAATACATCTAACACTGTCCGCATTCTCAATAGCATCAATCAGATCTATATTTTTAATTTGGAGATGTTTACTTAGTGGTAAGCTTATACCAAATACTTTTGCTAACACAAATGTTGCTAGTATAAATTCTGGCTGTTTTATAGAGCATAATAATTGGTATGCTCCCGATGAAGAATCCTTATCAAACCAAGAACATACTTTTGTTAAGCTATCGATAATAGCATCAAATAAATCTATAAAAACAAGTATAGAGTCATGACGGTCCACCCATCTAGTAGGACAAAGTAACTTTAAACGTTTAACATTTGAAGAAGGACATATAGAAGATATTGATTCTSTTAAGACATTGTTTCTTTTTGGATACCTATTTAAAGAAGACACAAACTTTCTGAATAGTTCCTGTGCAGTTACTAATAATGGATTGAATATTACAAGCATCCGAAATCGCCAAATTTAAACTATGGGAACTACAATGAATATAATGAGCAATAGGTATTCATAAATTTCGTAATTATAAATTTGCAGATTTTAATTTATCACAATATCACACAACCAAAAGTAATAGATAACAACAGTCTCACTTTTGAATATTATCGTGATATAAATTATAAGCAAACAAACAGTTTTACCAAATATTGTGATAGTACGTTGTAATAACTCATAACCACGGTCTTAGAATAATATAAAATAATATCTTTAATCGTGGCCATAATCACAGTTGTTGAAAACCCATGCAGATAGTATCACGATTTAAGATAATTATATAATATAATTATTATTAATCAGGTTTCTGGACGAGTTTTCGGAATATCCAGAAACGTTTTGTCATATATTTTTATAAATAGAAAGTACTAGAATTAATGAAATATTAATAATAATTTATTAGACGTGGAAAKGCAATGTGGGGGGGTTTAAACACCCAACCCCCCCCCTGGCTACGCCACTGCCCACATAAGTTTCTACCAAGTGCCGCCTATGATGCTATATATTTACGAAAATTCAATGGATAAACCATAAACTGTCAGTTTCGTGAGGTACCATTTAAAATTAACAATAAATTATACAAATTATAAAATGTTAGTTAAAAAATATTGAATTCTAAAAAAATCTATGAATATGCAATTATATGCATTATGTCCAAAATATGCAAAAATATGCAAAAAAAAATTGGTCCTATTTAAACGATATAATAAGCCAAATCGTGGACAAATCTGACAACCAATCAATTTGGACTTAAGGAAAAAAACATGCAAATGCATATAAATCATAGCCTTAATAATAATAATAATATCATGATATTATACAAAGCCCATTAACATAATATTAATAATTATCATGGTATAGTATTCCTAACTATACTAATAATAATAATATTAATATATTTTTATCACGCGCGGAACACGTTTGGACGGAATCCGAATTTTATTCGATGATAATCTCATCAGTAAGTTTAAACATATTATTATATTATTATTCGTACGCATTTTAAAATATTATTTGGGGTACGAAATTGTCATTCGTCTTATGTAATTATTTATCTTAGGATTGAAATTTGACTCGAGTAAAATAAAAAATATACCTACAACTGCAATACTGGCGAGTAACGTAATATAATACTAGTCTTGGGAACTAAAAAAAATCGTGTTTTTGTCTTAATTTTTTGGACACGGTTTTCTACAAGTCTTATTTCAGTCAACGAGACGCCGGAGGAAAACGTATAAATTAAATTAAATGCGTTTAATTTTATATTACTTTAGGTATCTAGCTCTAGCTATAGATATACAAATTTTCATTATACAGGGTGATTCTTTTATCAAACAACACTTATATGGTGTTTGTGTGTAAATACCACCTAACATACACCTATAACACACAAATACCACCCAAAACCACCCAACTTTGGGAGGCTATATCTTGTAAACGAATTGACGAAAAATGAAAATTTAAACGTGAAAATTCATTGAAAAAATAG